AATGAAAAATTATTTTTTTTCTTCCTTCCCTCCCTGTGGGACAGTGACACATGGTCAGATACTTCTCAACCAACATTTAGGAACACAGATCACCCGTTGCTGGTGTGATGAGTTCTGACATCCATGAACTGTGTCCATTCTTTAATTCCATTTCTTATTCTCAATTCTTTAATTCCATTTCTTATTCTCCAGTGGCAACACTCCCATTGCTGTGTGGGGAACTCATCTGGACCTCATCCAAAACCCTCAGATCCGGGCGAAGCACGGCGGAAAGGAGCACGTCAACGTGAGTATGACTGGGGAGGGGACACCTTGGGGACAGGGGCTGGTGAAATCTCCTACTGCAGCCCAAAAAAAAGGCATGACTCGTTCCCAGAAACATTATCCCATTCCTGAAGGACGCAAAAAAATTAGAAAGGGCTGGAACCAAATTTCWGGGTTTTCTGAGATCTACACCTTTGATTTGCCTCTCCAGCATCCTGGGATTYGTATCAGGTAACCTGATATCCAAAYTGGAATCCTGAGCACAGCTGAGCATGCACTGCACAAAGGCTTTTGGAGAAACACCCAGAGTGTGGGATCTAACTGCAGGGTGGTAGCGAGGTTTTGGCCAATTTGTGCTGTACAAAAAATAAGGGAAGGAAATGAAGGCAGGGAAAAATGCTGGCACTGGCAATCCCAGAGGCTGAGCCCTCTCAAGAGGCACAGGATGCCCAGTTGAAGTGCAAACACAGCTGCCCCAAAACTGTGAGGTGTAAACAGCACAGGAATGACCTGCTAGGTTCCATATTTTCCAAAAACCCTCCTTGTGTTGGTTTTTTTCCCCCAAAACTGTGAGGTGCAAGCAGTACACGGATGGCCTGCCAGGCTCTGTATTTTCCATAAATATTCAATGTGCTGGGTCTCTTTCCCCAGAACTGCAAGGTGCAGAACAGCACAGGGATGACCTGTCAGGCTCCATATTTTCCATAACCACTCTTTGTATTGGGTTTTTCCCCCAGAACTGTGAGGTGCAAACAGCACAGGGGTGACCTGCAAGGTTCCATATTTTCCAAAAACCCTCCTTGTGTTGGACTTCTTCCCCCAAAACTGTGAGGTGCAGAACAGCACAGGGTTGACCTTTCAGGCTCCATATTTTCCATAACCATTCTCTGTGTTGTTTTTTTCCCCCAGAACTGCGAGGTGCAGAACAGCACAAGGATGACCTGTCAGGCTCCATATTTTCCATAACCACTCTTTGTATTGGGTTTTTTCCCCCAGAACTGCAAGGTGCAGAACAGCACAGGGATGACCTTTCAGGCTCCATATTTTCTATAACCTCTCTGTATTGGGTTTTTTCCCCAGAACTGCGAGGTGCAGAACAGCACAGAAATGACTTGTCAGGCTCCATATTTTCCATAACCACTCTTTGTATTGGGTTTTTTCCCCCAGAACTGTAAGGTGCAGAACAGCACAGGGATGACCTGCCAGGCTCTGCATTTCCCATAACCACTCTTTCTATTGTTTTTTTCCCCCAGAACTGCGAGGTGCAGAACAGCACAGAGATGACCTGCCAGGCTCTGCATTTCCCATAACCACTCTTTCTATTGCTTTTTCCCTCAGAACTGTGAGGTGCAGAACAGCACAGAGATGACCTGTCAGGCCCCAGCGCTGGCCGTGGACCCCAATCACCAGTCCGAGCTCGCCGAGCGCCCAGAGGAGTTTGGCTTCATCCTTGACAAYGTGCAGTCCCTCCTGATCCTCAACAAAACCAACTTCACCTACTATCCCAACCCAATCTTYGAGGTTTTCAATCCCTCAGGGATCCTGGAGTTGAAGCCAGGAAGTCCCATCATCTTAAAGGTGAGATGGGGACCAAGGACCGGATGAGGAAGGTCAAACAAATTCTTCCTCTCTGTGCCTGCCAGCACCCCATAAATCATCCTGATTGCATCCCAGAAACTTCCTCCATTCCTTGCCCCATATGGAACCATATCAGAGTTGCCATCAGCAAACACCATAACTACAAATTACAAACTCCTGATATAGATTCCTGCGTGCAGCCTAAATTTGTACCCACTACTGCTGAGCAGAGAACATTTCCTACCCTTGCAATGGGGCTGACAGTTAAATACCCACCTCTGTTTCCTTTCTTGGACATTCAAGACCTTCCTCTCAGCCCTGCTTAAACCCAAACCAGATCTTTCCCATTTCTGTAAACTGCACAGCAACACAGAACAGGAATTTTGTGATGCAGCATTTCTGTGTCAGTATTTTTACATGGTGAATATGCAAAGAAATTGTTTCACCTTCAGATGCTTTTTGCACGTTTGGAAAGGGGTCTGACTTACTTGGCYATGTTTAGTGAGGGCTTTATTGTGCAGGACTCAGATGGAACATTTCTCATTCAGTTCCAGAGAGGGAGGAGCAGGACAGGCTGTTGTGACTGATTTGGGTCTGTAGCCACTCGTGCTGTTCYCTGCGTGACTTTCTAAATTGGCTTTTCCTCTCCGTGTTAGCAAATGGTGAACTACAAATGTYRTAATAGAATCATATTTAGRTTGGAAGGGACTTTRAAGATCATTTCATTCCAACTCCCTGCCATGAGCAGGGATATCTTTTATTAGACCAGGTTGCTCCAAGCCCMATCCATCCAACTTGGCCTGGAGCAGAGTCAGTGCTCAGCCATCCACAGCTATCAAATGCAAAATCCACACTTGTATCTCAGGAATCAGCCAAAGGGGGGAAAAAAACCTCTTTGCTGCCATTTATTTGGTTATTTTGGGGTGTGATATTCCTTTCTGTGCAGGGCAAGAATCTGATCCCACCGGTGGCAGGCGGGAATGCCAAACTGAACTACACCGTTCTGGTGGGTGAGAAGCCCTGTGCAGTGACYGTGTCAGATGTGCAGCTCCTCTGTGAGTCCCCAAACCTCATTGGAAGGCACAAAGTGATGGTAAGTGGGGCCTGACCCTCAGCTTCTGCTGCCTGGGTGGCTTGGGAGGGCACAGCCATGCTGAAGAGCTGGCAGAGAGCTCTGAGAGGTTTGCATCACCATTTACCTTCCCAGGAGCATCAGGGACCCTTTTTGGTACAATATCCTCCTCAAGGGGAGCTTGGAGAAATAAAACAGGAAGAGTGACCTGGAGATCTTTGTGGACASTGAGAAACCTTTCATGATCAAATCCCAGTAGAAGAGTTTGCCTCTCTTTTGTTTTTGTATGGACTGTGTGAACCCTTGATGCTCGTGTGAGATCTCACATGTAACATGTTCCTACACACCATTGTTAAATTCAGCACAGTCCCCATCACTGATTGACATGCTGGTGACTAAAATTTGCCTTTATGTAGGCAGAGAAAAAAATGCAGGATGTGGACAATAGTGTGACTGGACTTTGAGGTTCTGACATCTATAAAACCCAGTGTAGTCCTACATATCCTTCCTGGAACACGTGAAGAATGGACCTGGTGATTGCATCAGAGGGAGCTTCTCCTCCTCTCACCGTTTATTTATTTACTCCTTTTTTCACTTTCCTCTTGATAATTTGAATTCCTTGATGCTGCTGCTTGATAAACAGCATATCAGCAAACAGCCTGGAGTTGTACCAAGCTGTGGGTGGGAACAACAAAAGCTGACAACTGCCATCAATGCTTCCCATTCCTCGTGAACAACTTTTTTTTTTCCCAGCTCTCTGTTGCTTCCCCCCAAAGCTKTATTTGTCACGTATTAATTTATTAATTTCAGTGCAGAGAGAATCAGAGAGTTTAATGGAGACACACTGCTCTTTAAAAAGATTTTTGTGGGAACTTTTAGGAAGCAAAGTTTAATGTGACCATTTTGGGTCTTGTTCGTGGCCACTGCTGGGATCCCTTGTAGTGGCTACTTAACTTCTCTGTGCCAGAGTTTGTCATCTGGAAAATAGAGGTAATAATCCTTTCCAGCCATGCAAATACACCGTGACTCTCGATTCATCGCAAAGCACATTAAGACCCTCCAAGAGGAGCAATAATGAAGTGAGAGAATTTTCTCTGCGTGAAAACCAAARCTTTTGAGCACGGCAATAAATGTTCCCTGCCATTTTCATGGGTATAATTAAACATATGGTTAGTCAGAGACGGACAAAGCCGGTCCTGGGGAGAGAAAACTCAAAGCCAGGTGAGCAAAAATCAACCCCTGGGGATSCAGGACGATGGACATCTGGCCTGGTTGTACTAATTGGGAAGATTCTCTACTCCTGCAGCTTGGGACWGTTTAAGTGAAGGCAAAGATTAAGAACAATCCCTTTTTAAGGATGCTGGTCAAATGAGGGATGCTGCTGGGAAGCTGGGAAGGTGCTCAAGGATGGACTTTGCATCTGGAACCAGGGCTGGGAAATGCCTCCTACAGCATGGAACAGCTCTGCTGCTCAGGCTGGGACCAAAAGAGTCCCTCTGTTTCACACAAACACCTCTTTGATAGCCAGGATAACTGACAGGTAGTTCATCCTCCTCCTGATTCTGCCAAAGATTCACTRTGTGACCTTGAGGAAATTGGTGAACAAACCTTTCCTTGCAAAGCGAKGTGGCCACGATCTGAGAGGGGCCGTGGGAGTGAATCAACCATTGCAACAGAGATTATTTCTAAGGGAAGGAGCAGCAGCAATGACACACATTGATGTCAACATGCTTTTGATCTGGTTCAGCTGTCTTTTACACAATGACAGAGTTAAGTATTTGAAAAAAAACAGCAAAGAAATAAAAAGCCTGGGTTGAAATGGTTGAAAAGAAGATTGACTAAAACTCAGAGGCAAGTTTTCTCCATGGAAAAGAAAGGGGTGTGAGGAAGGTCCATGCGTGGCTGCGCCAGAGAAGGTCTGCAGGGAAGATGTGGAATACATTTGAAGGGTTGCTGGTGTCTGATGCAGTCTGGAAAATCACACCAGACTCTGCATAATGAATGGAGAGATGTCAAAAGGAGCAGCTGAAGTTCAGGGTGTGATTCATCTCMTCCTAAGAGATAATTTCATTTGGCCAGGACAAGCTTGAACCAGGAAAGACACATCTTCAGAACTCCTGAACTCCTACAGGTGGCTACCAAGACTGTGTTGGAGAAAACTGGGCTCTGACATAGAGCTCATTTAGAACATTTGGTGTAATTTAGAACAAATTCGTGATTAATAGCCTTAACAGGTGGCCAAACTGTTGTTTACCAATATGGTGAGTCCATGTTTATTCTTTTGGATGATAAAAATATCTTCCTCCAGAACAACTTGGTGGCCCAAGAAATAAAGTAGGGTTTTATCTACGTATTTTCTTACATTTCTTTTAAATTTTCACAATAACACTGCAGCCTCAGAGGCTTTCTTCTTCAAGAGACAGATTCCCTCAGATCATGGCAGTTTCACTTGTGGATTGTGAGACCTTCACAGTGATGGAACCACCTTTAAAGAGSAGCACACTGGGCCTAACTTTGAGCTAAACCTTTTGGAGCTTAGATCTCTCATCATTAATGGAGAGAAATGGGAACTTCTGCTGAATAAAACGTCTCATCTCAAAGTCAAAGGTRTCAGAAGCAGCTCACATAAATCAGATCCTGAAAGTGTTTTTTCTCTTTGTTGACTCTGGAATGGAGCATCAGTGCCTGACTCGGATGTGGAATATTAGGTGAGAGAAATCCCACCCATGGAGATGGGTTGTTCCTCCAGCTTTGAGGATGAACCTGCACTGGGATTTGGGATRGGGCTGTTTGAGTCTAGGCTGATATTCCTTGAATGGGCTCACCTGACTGCATGGCTTGGTGAAAGAGAAAATGAAACAGAACCAATCTATTTATTGATCCACTGACAGGAAGGAAAGTGTGTGAGCTGGTGAGCAAATTTTGCAGTGAGGATTTGGGGCAGTGGMCTTGGGAACAATTTCCAGTGCATGGATTAGGATGAGAGTTTGGCAATTTGTCTGCTCAGTTGGGCAGGTCACGTTCCAACAGCAATTCTCAACATTTAAAAGAGAGTTGGACTTTTCATTTTGAAATTGGTGGGGAAACTTGTTACTGCTGAGGTTCCTTGGCCACTGAAATGATCCCCAAACCATCAGTCAGGGTACCAAATGGTCATACTGAAACTCTGCTACCTGATTAGATGAGTTTAGGATTAGTTTTGTTCCTCATTGTGGACATTTTATCTCTCCAGACCYMATCCTAAAATGGCWCRAGAGGACCTTGTGGATGGAAATKAGTTATTTTCAGRCACTCACTTTGGTCTTGTCCATGASATGAGGGTTGTAGTTGTGTCTCTTTGGCTGGGACCCAGTGAGGAGCAGCCTACACCTGGTGGTGAAGCAAAACAACTGGGACTGGAAAAATTTCTAGGAGATGGTGAGGTGACAGAGATTCATGTCCCCAGAAAGGATTGGGATGGAAAGCCCCTGGGAAAATTCATAATTCCTGATTCTGCTCCGTAGTTTCTTCTACCAGCTCCAGCTGGGCCAGTTTCCTCCTTCTGCAGCCTGGAGAGGAAATCTGGCATGTGCCTGAGCTGAGATGTGGAAAATCCTGGGATTAAAATGTGACCAGGAGGGCTGGAGACAAACTGAGTAACTGAGAGCCACTGGCAGGAAGGCAAGGCTGGCCACCAAACTGGGATGTTGGGGAGAAACATGAGGAGATGTGAGGGAGAGCTCCTCAACAGAGGAAGAAAGTGGTTTAATTCACACTGCAGTGGTTCCAGTTGTAATGGGGAGTAGGAAACACTCAGCCCTGCGGTTGTGACTGGGTTTATACCTGGCAGCAGGATTGTGCCCTTTGTGCAGTGCCAGCTGAGCCTCTCTGAGCCCCCCAAGCTCATTTGGGGGGATGTCATGGGACTCACCATCCTTCAAGCTCTTCGGGTGGCATCTCCCCATCTTTCTGCTGATCTACAACCATCATTCCCAACCACAGCACAGTCCTAGGAGCCTTTTTATACTTCAGGCCAGCCAGCAGAGSTTTTCTCACCACCTCTCACCCACCTCTCAAGCTTTCCTGCTCTACAAAAAGCCTTGAACAACCTCGTAGCAGCCTGAAGCCAGGAGTATCCTGTGGGATTCCTGTKKGGARTGGTGTTCATGTTGTAATGATGGKCTCTGAGRGACTTTCTTCAGCAGAACATTTTGYTGGGCTTGCAGCAGGAACTCTTGCAGGGTTTCCTTGGGTTGTTGAAAGAAAGGCCCTCGCACAGAAGCTTCTTCCAGAGGCTGGAAGCTGCTCTGGGAACCTCTGGAAATATGTGGAGAAGAAAAAGCTGTGCTCAGCTCCCACAGCATCTGCAGCTGCCCTGACAATGTATGGCTAAGAAAGGGGCTGAAAGACCATGGGCCAGGCTTTGTGGGGCTGGTGATTTATTTATTTATTTTTATTTTTTTTTTATTTTTTATTTTTTATTTTTTTTCCACTGTCCTGGAGGCTTCCAAGTACAGTTTTATGTGGTGGAAGGGTCTAAATAAAATATTGCATCTGATTTCTGCAGCCCCACTGCACTGACTGGGTCAGGTGTCCTCTGCCCCACTGTGGGGTTAGGACCCATCAGGCCATAACCCTGAGCTCTGTGTTCTTTATTTTGGGATTGAGTGACACCAGTGCCCTGTACAACACATCAGGATGAGAAAAGAAAAATCGAGAATGAAACCCAAAGTGATATTGAAAAATTATGATTGGTAACTCATCTCACCATGAATACTTTTTTTTTGTTGGGTTCATGGTCACTCTTCCAACAGAAGTGATTCCAGCTGGCATTTCAGGTGTTTTTAAGCAGCTCCCTATCCAAATAATTCCCCTTTTGGCTTGGGAGTGAAGGGGATGTCACCATTCACCCTCAGCCAGGGACACAATGGAGTTATGGAATTCCTCTGTGTTCCTGCTTGCTTGACAGTTTCAATGMAGCTCTTTGCTGCTTTCCCTCTAGGCTCGTGTAGGAGGCATGGAGTTCTCCCCAGGGATGGTGTACATCTCCCCCGACAGCCCCCTCAGCTTGCCGGCCATCGTCAGCATCGCGGTGGCCGGAGGGCTCCTCATCATCTTCATCGTGGCCGTGCTGATCGCCTACAAACGCAAATCCAGGGAGAGCGACCTCACCCTCAAACGCCTGCAGATGCAGATGGACAACCTGGAGTCCAGGGTGGCACTGGAGTGCAAAGAAGGTAGGATGAGGAAGGTGATGCCTCAGGATTTCAGTTTCTCTATTTCCACRTCTCTGTACCCCTGTKATTCTTCAGTGTTTAACTCCAGACTCCACAGACAGTGCTGAGCTCCTGCTCTCYCAWTTTBACACAAAACAATTCCTCYGCAKCCCCAAACTCAAGGACACCTCCCTGGGCCAGGCCCCAAGAGATGGAAACAACAGAGAATTGGGGGGAGCCAADTTGGAGTGAATGACTGCATTGGCTGAGCTGCAATTGGAGGATTCAGCCCCGATGTGCAAATGGACAAAAGTGAGAAAGGGTGAAAAACCCGTGAGCCATTGTCCATTGTGGGTGTGGGACTGCCCTGAATGGCCCTGAAGGCCCTGCCACCAACAGAACTGCTTTGGATTCCAGAATCTGTTTTAGGTAAGCCTGGTTTAGGCATCACAGGCAGGATGACTCTGTGTCAGTGTTGGTAGGAGAGAACCACGCAGCCACAGAATTTTGAGCCAAAACACCACCATGYTGAACCCCTGTGTGTGGCTCAAACCTCAGTCTAATCTGGCTTTGCCTGTTTTCCYTGAGTCCMGGCTTTCTCCACCCCRTCCTAACTGGATTTGATAATTCAGWGTCCACAGAAAGATTCGGCACACATCCCTGGGGAAAGGCTGTGCAGTGGGAAAGGTGACACTGCTCTTGTCCACTCCTTCCTCTCCACATGTTACCTCTCCTCATTCTCCTACACGTGGATCTGGGGGCTGTTCCCATCCTGGTGAGGGTGATGTGGATTTTCCCTGCTCCATGAGTTGTTCTGTTTTTTGCCAGCCTTTGCAGAGCTGCAGACAGATATCCACGAGCTGACAAGCGACCTGGATGGAGCCGGGATCCCGTTCCTCGACTACCGAACCTACACCATGAGGGTGCTTTTCCCTGGCATTGAAGATCATCCAGTYCTGAGGGATTTGGAGGTAAAACAACAACATTTCCTGCTTCTGGCTCCTCTCATGCCTCCCTTTTCAGTCCTGGATTCCAGAGATTCTGTGTCAGTGGTGGGGATATGGTGACTTGATCATGCTGTGTCCTACTCGAGGTGAATCAGATCCTCATTAAAAACCTGTGTTGAAAAAGGAAATATTTGCTGTTATCTTAGATCATATTAGATCATAAAAATCATTTAGGTTGTAAAAGACCTCTGAGATCATCGATTCCAATCATCAACCAATGCTGCCAATTCCATCACTCAACYGTGTCCCCAAGTGCCACATCCWYACACTTTTTGAACACTTCTAGGGATTGTGATCCCACCACTCCCCTGGGCAGCTTATTCTAGCTCCTCAYCACCCTTTCAGTGAAGMAATTTTTCCTAAAAGCCAATCTAAASCTCCCCTGGCACAACTTTAAGGCCGTTTCCTCTCATCCTGTCACTCGTTACCTGGTAAATTCTGTTTGATCGCTCACTTATTTGGAAGACTCTTATATATCCATATGCATTAGGTCTACTCAATTAAGCTTCTCTTTGGCCTTAACCCTTCTGTGGCTTCATTTTTAGGTTGGATTTAATATTTTCTGCCATTCAGGGGAAAGAAAAAACAGTAGAGTGACAGAGGAGCATGTTTGCCTGTKTCATCCAGCTTTGCATGACCCTCACACTACCAAGAGGCCAGGTTGTTTTTTTTTTTGTGGCAAGTCTTATAAAAACAAGTTTCTGTCGCAGAGGGAGGTTCACCTTTGCTGCACTCTGGTTTGTAGTGAGATCAGAAAACCTCAGCAGCAGTCTGTCCATTCCCTGCCCACATCTTCCTCCTCCATCTCAGGAAGGGAGAGTGGGAGGACTGTGAGATGYTGTCCACAAATCTTGGGGTCTGCACACAGCCTGTGTTACCTGAGTGGTGACARAAGCTTGAAGGGAGCCCAGGTGAGSTCTGCCAGGCTAAAATCTGCTCTGGGCTCTGGCAGATGGACGGGCTCTGCTCTAGGAATATTTGGGCTGGAGAATCAGGAGCCACASTGTGGCCAAGGTGTTGGCTGAGCTCTCTGCAAAGCCTTTGGCAGGCTCTGAGCTTCAGAGAGGCTCTGGCATGGGTCTGGGAGATTGCTGGAGGCCAGGACCGGGCTGGGTTGGCAGGAAGGAGGAGCAGGAGCTGGCACAGGCAGGACCACGCTTGGCTGGCTGTGTAATCAGAGATTCTGCTCGGTTTTGCTCCTGCCGCTCGGAAGAGCCAAAATTCACCCGACGGTACGGAGAGAGAGCCATTGGAAAAGCTGATCTGTCAGCAAGGAGGGCTTGTGGGACTGGGCAGGAGGCTGTAGCTACCCTACAGATTTGGGGTGTAGAGCAAACGGCCTCCAGCTGCTTTCCCTCAGGACAGGCAGATCAGCAGCTCCAACACACGAGCAGGAGGAGCCAGG